TTCAAATGAATATAGAATGGGGTCTAAATATCAACACTTACAACTGGGCTGCAAGTCATATAAAACCAGGTCTTCTTCTTCACCACCAAAATCATGTGGTTGATCATTCTCAACATGTGTAACAATACATGTTTGTAAGTCCATAATCACCAAATACCCTATGTACTCCACAAAAATTCAAAAAATTATTGCTATAGAAATTGACTAAAAATGGAATGAAGAGAAGAGATTGACAGAGGGATGGTCGTGTTACAGGGGTTGGCGCATCAGAGATATAAAGAGGAAGATAAGAAAAAGAAGATATTACCTGCCTTGTAGGAAGGAGAGCGCAGAAAAGGGAGAGGAGAGTTGTAACGCCCTGAAAACCGGTCTAGAAATTTTAACCTTCTAGTACAAAGAAAAGAAAAAATATTTTAAAAAAATAAATACAAAAAAAATAAAAATAAAAAATGTTACTATTATTTATCTAGAAACAATCAATTTGGAACTTAATTAGAACGATTAATTACTAGTAGAGATATAGAATAAAGTGAAAGGGAATAAAAATTAGTCGGGTTCTCTACCATCTGAACAATAGAGCTTGTTCAAATGAACTTATTTTCTTGAAAAACAAATTATATTAAAAATGATGTGTGAAAAATATGGAACCCAATGATATAAGTTTTATATTTTTTTAAAAATTGGACAGGTGAAATCAAATACGTAATATTGAACAATCGGAGCAAGAGAACCTTTTTGTTTTTCCCTTGGTAGTCACGCCTAGAGTAACCCATTTGATCCATGCATCTTATTAAAGATATTAATAATGAATGTCCTTTAATTTATCAAATAGATGCATTAAAAAAATATAATATTTGTTTTTGAGACCATCCATTTTCCCTCCCATCCACCTATAAATAAGGGCCTAAAGTGGGTAGCTTAGAGCATCTCCGACCACAATTGCTAAACATGGCTTGCTAAAGTCATTTTTTAGCATGTGAATAGTGGTATAGCAAGCCATTTTGCATTGTCATCTCCAACCTTTCCTTGCTATAATTTAGCTAACAATTACTCCCTCCGTCCGGAAATAAAGTTTACGTTTCTCCTTTTTCTCCGTCCGAAAATAAAGTTTACATTTCTAATTTTAACCCACACTCTTCCAAAAATACCCTTCACCTTTTTCTAATTTTCTCCTATCCACTCACACTCTCTTATCCGCCCCTTCCTCCTCAGCTCCTCATTTACTCCACCGATATCTGACTCTTCCACTCCTCCAAGTACTTCTTCGCCTCTTCTTCTCCTCACTCATCACCGATCTAGATCTAGATCTGTATACATATTCTCAGTTCATCCATCTCTTCAATGGATTTGTCTGATTATCTATATGAATCATGCATTCTAGAAACCCAATGTGTAGATGGCGCCTACGTCTACAGCTCTGACGACAAGGAGGAGGACGAGGTAATCGTTCTCGAGAATAACGAGATCGTTGCCGATGTTTCCCTGGTCAAAGCGAAAGAGGTAATCGACCTTACCTCTGAAAGCGACTCTGTTATTCATCTGGAGAGCGAGGAGGTTGAGGTCATACTTCTTGAAATTGATACTGATGGAACAGAGGGATCTGATATCACTCCAACTGAAAATTCTTCCCAGATCTACTCATGCATGCACCTCCACATTGATATGTTGAACATCTTACTTCCCAGTCCAGACCCTAATTTTTGGGCTTCGCAGTACAAGTAGGGAAGTACTTTTACATCCTTTGTCTGCATTCCTTTCGTTATGTGATGAGTTATTGTGCCTGCGCAATATTTGATGCTGTGATTGTATCATAATGTGATGTTTTCCCAATCTATGATGACTGGATTTATTCTACCTGATCTGAGAAAGGATTAGGTGCTGTGATGAGCAATTGATGAACTGTGGATGTTTCTAAGTACTTATTCTGTATTCTTATTTTCTGTGAATACTGGATTTTAGTACTGTGATGAAGGATTATGGGCTGATTCTGAGTACTTATAATCTGTTAGTATTTCCTGAAGATATGAAGACATTAATTACTGTAAATAAATATCTTAGGAATAGGAAAATGTACTATGATGAACACTTAGCCATGTGTGGGTGTTTCTGAGTACCTTATATGTGTTCTAAGTTTCCTTAAGTTCAGCAATGATGATGTGGTATAAAGTAAACATAGGTAAGGTATGCTGGATGTTGTAAATACATATAGAGCAGGTTGTGTAGTTGCCTTGTTCTGAGTACATATATACAAAGGTTCAAGCACTTGCAAAAAACAAAAATATTTTAAGCACTTGAAATTATACTCCCTGCCTACATCCCAAAAACCAAAAGCCCTTCCCCTGCCCAAAAAACCTTTTTGTTGTTCCCATTACATTCAGTTCAGGTCTGAAGAGAGGTATTCATCTTCCTCTTTAGGGTTGAACTGAATTATATCTTCAGGTGTACTCCCATTTCCTTCTTCAAGTAGTCTTGCTGTGTTGACAACTACCTCTGGGTCAATGTGAAGGGACTTAGGCAGTGTCCCAACCCTTTCCAGTCTGCCTTTGCCCATATGCTGCAGTTTATAATTGTTTCCTCCTTCTTTTTCCATGATTGTAGCCATGACCTGCTGATAACTTAACCAAACTTTATTTAAAGTTTCTGGTTTTAGAGCATCATAAGCCCCTTGAACTGCCTCTAACAATTCCTCAACTGTGTTTGGAGCACACTGTTCTTTTAAGGACTGGATGGCTCTGAAAAACCCAAGATCAAGTACATTTAAATCTGGGGAGTTGGGGGGTTGGTTACCTAATGTAATGTGGAAACCATTAGTGTTTCCTGCAGCTACAAATTCTGAGTCTAAACCTTGAATGTGTGGCCTAGCATTATCCTGTTGAATATGAATGTTCTTTGATAAATTTCTAGGCCACTTCTCTTGGATAGCTGGAATGACTTTATTTATAAGCATGTCTTTTGTGACTTGTTTGGTAACTACCTTGATTGGTTTGACTTCCAAGACCCCTTTAGCCCTGTTCTTGCTCCTTCTTTTGGCTTCAACAGTTTCAGTAAAATGAAAAATGCCAACTTTTCCATCCCAAAGAACAACTCCATTATCATCAATAAGTGGTCTACCAACCACACACAAGAACATGACTTTTGTAATGAACCTTTTTGATTTGCATGTCCTATAGGGGTCAACTTCTTCAGGAAGAAGGTAAAACCTCTGAGATGTTTTGGTCATAAAGAACCACTTCTCATCAATGTGCAATACATTATGAAAAGACTTGAATATAGGTTGGTGAGGCATACT